CTTCCCCGCCAGCACCGTCTCCATGGTGCCACCTTCTCCCACAACAAGCACTGCTGACCCTCTGTCAGCATGGGATGGGGGGGCAGGGGAGGCTGCTCCAGCAGCAGCCCCTCTATCCACAGGGGGTCCCAGCAGACAGGGACTGCTGCCTGCAGGGAGCCTGGGCCCACTGTGGGCAGAAGCTGCTTTACAGCAGCACCCCCTGTCCATGGGGGGGCGGGTCTGAGCATCCCACAGTGCAGAGTGGGGAAGGACAGGGCCAGGCTTAATGTGCTGCCCCCGCCCCAGCACAATCTCTCAGCTCCTATTGGCCGGTTCATAGAGCCACAGAGAGCAGCCAGCTGCTTTGAGCAGTGTGGAGCTGCTCACTGCCACAGGGGCGGGTCATGGTCCGGATTAAAGAGCTTGGCAGGCCGGGTCTGGCCCGCAGGCTGGATCTGGCCATCCCCAGACGATCCCCAGACGATCACTGTGATCTCTTCTGGCCTGGGAACCTACGATTAACGCAAGAGTCAGAAGCCAGGAATGGGAACCCAGCGTCAGAGCCAGACTCTGAAGTCAAGAACCACAGGTGGTTAGAACTGGAGTCAGAGGTCAGGAATCAGAGCCAAGAGTCCCAACCAGGTTTCCAAGGGCGAGGCATGGAAGGGGCGAAGCTGGGAATGAGCAGGTGCCAGTATTATCACAACCAGCTGTCGCTTGGCTCGAATACGGATGCGCTAACTCTACCTCTGATCGGGTGGTGGACCAAATCCAGCATCATACTACAGGACAGCAGGGTGTGTTAGGTGGCCCACAGTCAGGCTCTGCTGCAGGCCCTGATCCCTGACCGGGTGGAGAGAAATGAAATCAAACAGGGCCCAACCCTCCTTGCTGTAGAGCGTAACGACATTTGGGATAAAGATAAGACTCGGAAATCCGGAGACTGAACACCAGCTGGCTAAGCAGAGGTGTGCACCCCAAACTAATGGTCATTTACAGGGCTCACCAAGCGGCAGCGAGCCCCGCTCGCCAGCCGCATGGTTCGGCACGCTGCGCATGCGCAGACCACACTGCACGGCTGTGCCGGCTTGTAATCTACTTGCCACGGGCGAGTAGATTACACTAATTGTCGAGCCCTGGTCATTTATACCACATGCCTGTGCTGAGCATGTACGGAATGGCGCAGAGACCTGGCCATGGGCAGCAGCTAGCAAGAAGAGACTGGTGACGGCCCATCGCAGATGGCTGAGAAAGAGGCTACACGCTTCCTGGAAAGACAAAACAAAGGGAAGTGTAAGAGCTACCAGAGCCTGGCATGTTAGAAAATATCACCACAGACAGCTTAGGATATTGGGACACGTACCCCACATGGGAGATGGGAGACACGCTAAGCAAGCCTTGAGAACCCGAGGGAGGGCAGAGAACGTGAGGAAGGCGGGGAAGAACTGGCAGAAGGAGGATGCAGAACACACGGCCATCTCCGAAGAACTAGAGAGCAGCTGGAAGAACTGGACTGCCCCATGTCTGAGGTCAGGTTTTGAATATTTAGGATACACGAGGTCTCAATTCCATGCATCGCTCTGTAAGGACTAGCATTTTACTTTTTTTTAAAATAACCTGAAATATTCCTAATTTCACATGACTCGAGCAGCGGGGGTGTGAACACCAATTATCACAAGATTCCTGATACAATTACTCACCGTATCTTGCTGCTTGCGCCTGCTAAGAAATCACCCAATGCATGCTATTTGTCCCATACCTTACGCATTTCTTACGTGTACAAGCTGTAAAGTTCTTACATTGAAATTCAGTTACAATTAGACAGGACTGTGCTGCACTTTAAAGACTAACAAGATGATTTATTAGGCGATGAGCTTTCATGGGCCAGACCTGAGGACGTGAGTCTGGTCCACAAAAGCTCATCAGCTAATAAACCATCTTGTTAGTCTTTAAAGTGCAGCATAGCTCTGTCTTTTGTTTCAGCAAGACCCACACTAACACGGCTACATCTCTATTACTATTCCAGTTACAATTAGTGGTTCCAGGCCGAGTTCCCTGTAAACTGTGCACTTGTGCGGCCACTCAGGATATTCCAATGCTGCCCAGCTGATGAAAAGAGAACCCACAGCTGGGGTCTTTGTTTCTACTGGTGGTGCACATTCACACGTTTCAGTGCACATAAAATTATTCCACACAAAGAAAGGACCGATTAGAGAGAACATTGGTTCTAGGCCTCCCTCCATTTTGCTGAGACGGGGACACCATCAATGCTGGGCTGAACCTCTGAGTGCACCCAGTCCTGAGAGCAGGAGAGTAAGCACAGCACGAGGGCTGGGCCTGTGAGGACCCTGTGACGGCGCGCTGGGGTTTTCCCGTCTCCTGCACCCCCG